TAAAAAAGTAAAAAGAAATTTTTAAAAATAATAATAATAATTTATTAAAATAGTAGGAATATTTATTAATACTATATATTAATACTATATAAATGATATCGAGAATTGCCCGAGCAGCTAGTTAAGGCAGAACTTTAAAATAAATACGTTATAAGATTTGAGTTTCTCTTAGCTAGCGTAGCTGCCAATCGCTGAACCTCAGCCACACCCTATGGCTGGGCTAGTTAGATGCCCGTGCGCTACACCACCTACGCGCAGCCGCAGCCGCAGCACGCGCCAGATACCTACAGTCCTGGTATCCGTACTGGTAGGTCACTGGCAGGTAGGTAGCCCGTCTCCACCACAGCTTGTTCCTGCCACATTGCCTCCACTGGTAGACCACAGCTCAAAGCTGCCGTCGTGTGCTAACTATACCGTGGCCGTAACAAGTTACTTTCTCCCTCGTGTCCTCTATTGAACATAGCAACCCTCGCGACACGCGCAAACCATTTGCTGGCAACTACAGTATGACTTAAACACACCATTCTTCCCGTCTAAATATCTAACACTGACCACAACTCTCAGGATTCACGCTGCAGCCGCATTGCCCGATTATCGATCTCAGTAGAGCACTCACACAACGATGGACTACGAAGCTCTTAAGGAGCAATGGAGCGAGGTCGAGGACCGGGATGGAGTTCGCCTGAGTTGGAATGTGTTTCCTAGCTCTCGTATGGTCAGTTGCGCTCGGCAAAGTGTCTTTCTGCATCTTCTGATATGTGCTTATATAGGAAGCATCGCGCTTGGTCGTGCCGATCGGTGCCAACTACACTCCTCTGAAAGAGAAGCCCGACACACCACTCCTCCAATTCGAACCGGTGACCTGCAAGCAACCTTGCCGTTCCGTCCTCAATCCCTTCTGGTGAGTCAAGTGAGCTGAGTTATTTCGGGATCTATAAATCTGACCAGGGCTAGTTCTGTGGACGTAAGAGCCCGTCTCTGGATCTGTCCGTTCTGCCTGTCGCGGAACCCTCTTCCGCCCCATTACAAAGACATCACCGCCAATGCGATCCCCCCCGAACTTCACCCTTCCAACACTACGATCGAGTATCGTCTCTCGCGGCCGGCGCCAAGCCCCCCCATCTTCCTCTATGTTGTCGACACCTGCCAAGAGGATGACAGCCTGGCTGCGCTCAAGGAGTCATTGGTTATGAGCCTGAGCCTGCTTCCCGAGAATGCACTCGTTGGTTTAATCACATATGGCACGATGGTAAGTGCCGTATCCATTGGGTCCCCCATGACCCTCTTTGCTGACCACTTGTCAAGGCCCAAGTTCACGAAATCGGCTACACTGAATGCGCAAAATCATATGTCTTCCGCGGTAGCAAGGACTACTCTGCGAAGCAGGTGCAGGAGATGCTGGGCTTGCTCTCCCCAGCAATGCGACCTGGCATGCCCCAGCAGCAACCTGGAAGGCCCATGCCCGCCGGCCCTGCGTCGAGATTCCTGCTGCCCGTTCAGCAAGCAGAGTTTCAGCTGACAAAAGCTTTGGAGCAGCTTCAGAAAGATCCATGGCCCGTAGCCAACGACCGCAGGAGTCTGCGCTGCTCCGGCGTTGCTCTCAGTGTCGCAGTGGGACTCCTTGAGTCTTCATTCCAGCACGCCGGTGGCCGCATCATGCTCTTCGCTGGTGGACCGGCAACAGAGGGACCCGGCATGGTAGTTGGTCCGGAGCTGAGAGAGCCCATCCGATCGCATCACGACATTGATCGTGACAACATCAAGTACTACAAGAAGGCACTCAAGGTCGGTACTTAGATGGGGTTTCCTCTGCGTAGAAAAAGCTGACACTGTTCCCTAGTTTTATGACATCTTGGCCAAGAGGACCGCTCATAATGGTCACATCATTGATATATTCGCGGGTTGTCTTGATCAAGTCGGTCTCTTAGAGATGAAGGGCCTCTGCAACTCCACCGGTGGCCACATGATTTTAACCGATAGTTTCACTTCCTCCATGTTCAGGCAATCGTTCATTCGCGTGTTCGAAAAGGATGGCGACGACAACTTGCTCATGGGCTTCAATGCTACTCTCGAAGTACTCACTACTAAAGAGTTGAAGGTTACTGGACTGATAGGCCATGCTATTTCACTTAACAAGAAATCGACATCGGTTGGAGAGACGGAATGTGGCATAGGGAACACATGCTCATGGAAGATGTGCGGTATCGACCCCAACGCCAGCTACGGCGTGTACTTCGAGATCGCAAGTCAGGGAGGCCCCACGCAGCATCAGCAAACGCCACAGAAGGGCATGATTCAGTTCCTTACTTACTACCAACACTCGTCAGGCCAATTCCATCTGAGGGTTACGACAATTGCCAGAAATCTTAGTGGCCCAGCTGGCGATCCAGCTATCGCGCAATCGTTCGACCAGGAAGCTGCTGCTGTCTTGATGTCTCGCATTGCAGTATTCAAGGCCGAAGTTGATGATGGCCCGGATGTCTTGCGCTGGGTTGACAGGATGCTTATCAGACTCTGCTCCCGCTTTGCAGACTACAGGAAAGATGATCCATCTTCCTTCCGGCTCGAGAAGAACTTTACACTGTACCCGCAGTTCATGTTCCATCTCAGAAGGAGTCAATTCCTACAGGTCTTCAACAACTCCCCCGACGAGACGGCCTTCTATCGCCATGTTCTTAACCACGAGGACGTGAGCAACTCTCTCATCATGATACAGCCCACGTTAGACTCGTACACGTTTGATCAGGAGGGTGGCCAACCTGTGTTGCTGGACTCGACTTCTATTCAGCCCACCCACATCCTTCTTCTCGACACTTTCTTCCACATTCTCATTTTCCACGGCGAGACGGTCGCCGAATGGCGCAAGGCGGGATACCAGGACCAAGAGGGCTACGAGAACTTTGCATCTCTGCTCGAGCAGCCGAAGGAAGACGCAAGAGTAAGCTCTCTTCCTTCGTCAAGTTCTCCGTATGTCAGCTAACACTATGTAGGATCTCATCACCGACAGATTTCCACTTCCTCGATTCATTGTTTGTGATGCTGGAGGTTCTCAAGCCCGATTCCTCCTGTCGAAGCTCAACCCGTCGACCACGCACACTACCGGAGCTTATGGCGGCGTGGGTGCGCAAAACGCCCAGACTATTTTCACCGATGATGTGTCTCTGCAAACCTTTATGGACCATCTCATGAAGTAAGGAATTGTTCAATGTTTGTCCTATCCTAATGGACTTGCTAACTATGGGTGCTAGGCTGGCCGTGAGCGGTACAAACTAGATGACGGGGTTGCGTATCGTCAGGGGCTGAGGAGGATATTGGTGCCAGCAACGACTTGGTGGCCGTCCTGGTCGTGCTAGAAGACGACAAATCCGTTAGATGGGGGATCAAGGGCATGGTCGCAAATTCGGAGTCTTGATATTCCTAGCATAAAAGACTTTTGACTTTGCCGTAGTTATGAAGACAAATGCCAATGGAGACTGAATAATTCTGTGTAAGATTTTAATTACGCGGGTAGGGTGGGAAATGGACCTTGCGGTCTGTGAAACATATCGGATTGTATCATGAGAGCAAGGCAAATGAGACAATAAGCTCAACGCTGTTGAGTCTCTACCTAAGTTGGGGTATTTGAAGAGTCCTATCTACCTTACCCAACGCAACTTTGTTTGACCTTGCACATGTGAAGCTTGACAGAGTGGGGATGTTAGGTAGCTGAAGGACCCCGCCCCCACCAAGACGATTGATTACCTACCAGGTACGGAGTGGGAGCGGAGGGAGGCAAGGTAATGCACGGAGTACATCAGATGGGCACCTGTATCCGTACCTAAATTTTCCTAGGGCAATGCCGCAATTGCTGAGGCGCACTCCATCTCTCGGCAAAGTTGCCTTTCTGACGTGTGGCTAGAGTTAAGGTAGTCGTGGGCAGGTAAGGTAGCGAATGTGGCTTAGCCTATCTGTAGCGAGAGCTGATAAGAAGATAAGATAGGTAAGGTAGGTAATATCATCAATCGATAGCACTTTAAGTTAGGTGCGAACAAACCACGTGATAGTTGCGGCTTTCTTTAAGACCCTTCGTGGATAGTGGATAGTGGAGCGCGAAAAAGGGTCATTGGCCAGGCTTGTGTGCACCAATTTTCTCCACTCAGCCACATGAATTGTGGCGCAGTATCTTAGTGTTTTTTGCCTAGGGCTGTGAGAAGGCGCACAGAACTAATCAACATTTTCCCCCGTCCAACTCGGCCTCAACTCCATCTTTCGACACCAACTTTCCCATCAGACCCAGATCCGAGAGCAGACACGATGCGTAAGTGACCCTCTCGACTGCCATGAGGCCGAACAAGCGACGACAAGAAAACTAATAGTTTACCCCAGCTCCTAAATTCGATCCCAACGAAGTCAAGGTCATGTACGTCGCACCTTCCCCAAAACCCTCAACATTCGCGGTGATTATTCTTCTAACACAGTTTGCAAATTTAGCCACCTCCTGGCCACCGGAGGTGAGGTTGGTGCCTCCTCCGCCTTGGCCCCTAAGATCGGTCCTCTCGGTCTGTCTCCCAAGAAAGTTGGTGAAGATATCGCAAAGGCAACTGGCGACTGGGTATGGCAATCCCTCCAGCCATCAATCAACTTAACACCTCCGCAAGCAAGCCAGAACAGAACTGACATAATTGGAATTATAGAAGGGCCTCCGCGTGACGGTCAAGCTCACCATCCAGAACCGTCAAGCCGCCGTCTCCGTTGTCCCCACTGCCTCTTCCCTCATTATCCGCGCCCTCAAGGAGCCCCCTCGCGACCGCAAGAAGGAGAAGAACATCAAGCACAACAAGTCTGTTCCTCTGGAGGAGATCATCGAGATTGCGAGAACCATGCGCCACAAGTCTTTCTCCAAGACGTTGGAGGGAGGTGTTAAGGAGATTCTGGGAACGGCAAACAGTGTTGGGTGCCAGGTTGACGGCAAGAGCCCCAAGGCCATCACCGATGCCATCGATGCTGGTGAGATTGACAGTAAGTACCAACCATCCTCCGATCAGTTGCATTCCGCTAACAAGGTAACTAGTCCCTGAGGAATAAAGGAGGTCAATAGCTGGACGGACACTCTCGCATGACTTCTGGAGTTTAGGAATGGTTCTGCATTAAGGGGACTACCCAAAAGGGACAACCTTGGGCAAAGAAAAAAAGAATTGCCAAATGACAAATGACAAAGTTTCTAAAACTGGCTTTTGCAATTTTGCTTGCCGCGAATTACCTTCTTGCGTGGTGATGTCAGGTCTGCGAATTGGTATGAGCATATCTGGTCAGAGTCTCGGATGTGCTATGGCATATCTATGTCCTGGTTTCAAGATAATTTGAAGCTTCTCAGTAGCAGGGCCATGTCTATAACATTGTACTGGACTCCGCAAGCCGACTAGGTAGATTCTTTTGGCATGGTTAAGAAGGACGTAATTGTAGCATTGGTCATGGCTCGGAGAATGCGCACTCGAAGAACCGGTCATAGATCTGGCCTAACACCCGTAAGGTAGATAACAAACGATGCTTGGTGGATTGCAGGCTTTGGTAGTGGACGTGGGTGTTTGCGTGCTCAGTTGTGTCCTGTGACTATATCTCGAGTAAGTCTGACTTGATGCTTAAATGATTCAGACTGCGCAATTAGGTCATTAAATCATGGAGAAGGTGACCTTGTCTGGTTCTTGCGCAAGATGCGTAGAGGAGACTGGGGGAGGAAGGAGAATTATTTCATCCGGTATAGTGCATTTCTTACGTATGGCTGGTATAATTAGCATTGTCTTAGCCAGTGCAGCGAAACCAACGTGTTTGGCACTAATGCATGGATCCAGGCTTGTCACCTCATCGACCGGCGTTTAAGATTGATAACAGGTCAGGTTGCTTTCATTGTTGGATTTGCTGGGTGTTTTGCCCGCCGTTCCCCATTGCTTTATGTCCAACGAATAATGAGCATCGTGTCCCCGACTGATAACATCCGCACCTGTACTATGAGGTGTGTAATCGCTTTTCTCGACTACGGCTGGGGATTACGATATCGCCCTCCCCCGAGACATTTGCCATCCCCTCCGTATTTGCATCCCTTTGTCCCAAGTACCCATGAGCCGTTGCCAGCCGCTGCCTCCTGTCCTGTATCCGTATCTCTTTCGTTACTCACCTCGTCTGACCGCTTTTGAGAAGTACGGAGCGCGCCCCAGTTGTAACCCCCCACCCCGCCCGCCCCGTCACCTACCATGCGTCAAGCCTCAGGGTATCTTTCCTCACCTCATCACACCCACCCCAGTCACGACATCCGACTTTGAGCTGCCAGGCCCCCAATCCTAGGCACCCATGCCCATGGTCCGCGCATACACAATCCTGCGCATACTCGTGTCTAGTTTTCGTACGGGATACGTAGTGTGCTGACCTTTTCCTCACGCCGTAAGGTACGCTCTGCTCTTGGATGCGTACTTCCGCGTCAGGCTGGAGGTCATGAGTTGGGAGGGAACCTGGAGATTTCCTGACAGATCCTTGAGACAAATCGACTGAATCTGGGCCACAGGACAGCCTTCTGGACAACTCGCTGTATCGGGCTGATATCCATTCCAATAAATAGTCTGGCAATAAGACTCCTGATCCTGTTACACTGCTGTGACTGCCGTATCTGCCTGGGTGATCCATCTGGGTGAACGCCTAATATATTTGACCTGCGCTTCTTCCTTCTCCCAACGGCTGCTGTGCTACGGCTACGGCTACGACCACCACCACCACCCAACTGGGGCTAAACCGGGCTGAATCGCATTGCATCTTCCCACCACAACCAAACCTGTAGCCACGGCCACGGCTGCAAGCTATAGCTGTCATTCCCGCTCCCGTCGCGGCTACCGCCACGGCTACTGTTACGGCTACTACTACTATTACTACTACTGCTGCTGCAGACTTCGCACTAGTCGCATTGTGTCTCGTTCCGCGCTCCACGTTACTTTCGCAATCTTCCTCTCGTCAATAGAGGACTACTCGATCGACTGCCTCAACCTCTCCTCCTTCGATCTTTCTCGCTGAACCCGTCGGACAGGTCGACCGTCTCCAACGTCGCCGTTCTTCTTTCAGGCCCCCCAGGCTCGCATTGCCCCGACCGACGAACCCGGCGCCATCTTTACGACTTAACGACGAACCTATATCGAAAGAAGAAAAAAACGATCTTTTCTCGACATTGCCCTCCGTCGCGCTTCGTCGAACTTGAACCACAAGGGAGTCGAGTCCCTAGGCTTGAAAAGGCCGCAGGGCAGGTGGCATTGCTATCGGGCATTGGCACAGCCGTTCGCTCGAGGCGTCCCAGAGGCCATGCCCGTCAGCCAGCCTGTCAGCCATGCTTTAGCCAGCAGGCAATGACAACTGGTTCCCGGACCGATATATCCAGCCTGGAACTCGCAGCACTCTCCTTTGTGCTGAGCTCGCTCGTTCCGTGCTTCGCTTCATGATACCCAGAAGCGCCTCGTGGTCTTCATCACATAACCCATGTTGCCTCTAGTTCAAATGCACCATACGGTGCCACAGGCGCCAAACTTCGATCCCCTCCCGCCCTTCCAGCAGCCACAACATCAGCAGTACCACCTCCAGCACCACCAGCCAGAAGACTACCCACCGCAACAACATAACTACCATCTGCTTCCTCACTTTAGCACGTATACATTCAACCAGAACTTACGCTGCCTGCCTGCTGGCTCGGCGAACGCTCTTTTCCCTGACGGCAAGACGCCACGATCCTTTCCAATTCGAACTTCACACCCAAACCAACCGATTCAGCGCCGCACGACGGCCGCAGGCCAGTCGCATTTCCTCGACGGACGGGAGCATCAGTTGCGACGTAAGACGCCGAATGGCACTATTGAAGCTGGCTACGATGGTTCTCATGCTCAATACGCTTCGGGGCCTCCGCCCCTGAAGCAGATGGCGCTCCCGGCGGTTCAAATGGCGTATAGTACGAACCGCCCCCATCAGACCGTCGACCAGATCCGCAATTCTTTACCTGTACGTGATCACGCAGGCGGTAGTTTGAATATAACGCCTCCAACATACCAACCATGGCCCCTTGCACAGGACTTGACGCACCAGTCAATGCACTCTACCGTCTCTCCGGCCTCTTCGCAATATGGGTTCAACACTCCGGACGCGGCTGCACTATTTGGCTCTACTTCTCAGCTTCATTCGCGGCCTTCGCTGTTCAACATCAACCCGTACTTCCCGGGGACTCTCCCTTCTGGAAACACTGGAGCTAGCATCCCGGGACTATCACATGTAGCAAACCCGTGGTTTCCGACGCATCAGCAAGAGCAGAGCTATGTCGGCCCGCCGATGCACCATACCCCGTCTCCGTCACCCTCGATTTATGACCATCGTTACTCCAAGGTGCAGAATCAGATGATAGGACCGTCTGCGCACTTCACCCCACCGGATCCTTACGCTCACCTCTCGGCATATGGGTCGGGCTTTCTGCAACCTGCACAAACTCATTTGGAGGCTCTTACGCTAGAACCGCATCAAGCTATCAGCGCTGTTGATTCTACGCACAAGACACATCCGTCCGCGTTCAGAGAAAAGGCACTGGCTCAAGCGCACCGAAGTTATGTCGATTTACTTGCACTCTTGCATCATGGGCGTAAAACTCAGCAGTTGAGGCCTGGCTCGGCTCTGAGCACTACCTCGAGAATGGTGGTATATCCCAAACCGCCTAAACAGCCCATCGTCACCTTGGCCCCGGACCTCTTTTTCCCAGGAGATGCCGCTATGATGGCCAACGCAAAATGCAGGAACAGCCAAGACAGCATGCTATTCGGTCCCTTGGGAGACAAATCGCCACTCACAACTCAGCACGCTGGCTGGGACGGGGTTACGGATTTCCGGCATGGCAATTTCCCGGTCACGAACTCAAATGGCTCTTTGTATCCAAATCAGATCTCGAGAGGCTCACCTCTCGCGAATGCCAAAAGCTCCCTAGAGCTTCTCACCCGTCTATGTGAGCATTCCAAATGGAAATGGATCGATGGAGTTTTACTGGGAGGCTGCTTGCACTACGGCCTGGAACACTTTGAGGAAGCCTTAGAATGGTTTACCCGAATCACTTCACTAGAGCCGAAGTAAGTCTTCATCCCACCTTTTTTGTCTTGCGTCTGGCTTCTACTGTTATGGTGTTACGAAATCACTCTTACTAACTCGTCATGGAGTCATGTGGAAGCAATGTCGAATCAGGCAGCGACTTTGTACTGTCTGAACAGACAAGACGAGGCGGAGAAATGCTGGTTGAAGGCGATCAAAACTCGACCGCAGTACCTTGAAGCAGTAGAGCATCTGGTTGGTCTGCTGTATAAGAAGAAAAGCGTCGACGCGGTTGAGGTCATCAGTTTTATTCAAAAGTCTCTCAGGCTACCAAAGGGATCAACAGGGGAGACTGGCTACGGCACTGACGCCGCCCGAAGAGATGCTGCTTCCAGCATGGCGACTAGCCTTGTAGACGAAAGCCGAACCCAGCCTGGCTTTGGTTCGAGCGGTTATGCCATTCCAGGGAACGAAAATGGCCGCATCCTCGCATTAGTCCATGCCAAAGGGACGATGCTGTACAGTCTGAAGGATATCGCAGGAGCATCTGAAGCCTTTGAGGAAGCTGTCTTGATCAGCGCAGGAAGAAGAACAGCATCCGTTCAGACGTTGGTCCGACAGATTCAGCAGGTTCTGGCACCAAACGGCAGCAATCGCCACGTTATCGACACGGCGACGCCGTCTCGCCCATTGTTACTGCCACCCGAACAGGCGAGGCGCACGGCAAAGCTGGTATTTTCTAACAACGGCGATCTCCCTGGACTACGGTTCGTGCCTGAGGGCGGCCCTAAGCGAGCGGCAATTCAAACTACGAGCAACTCGCTACTTTCTCTCGCCAAGATATTCCAGGATGCCATGTCCTCTGGCTCGCAGGCTGCGGGACTGGTGAGGAAGTCGGCCGGCGTTGGTGACATTCTGTCTCTTTACTATCTTTCATTATCACTTCAAGAGAGTCCATCAACGGCAAACAATGTAGGCATTCTACTTGCCAGTGTACAGCAGCCCATGGCAGCTACGTCGAGTCAGACTTTGTCATCATTGCCTAGTATTCCTGGCATTACCCCTGGCAGTGGACTCGCTTTGGCTCTTGCGTACTACAACTACGGGCTTACACTGGATCCGAAGCACGTTCACCTGCACACCAATCTCGGAAGCCTTCTCAAGGACATTGGACAGCTGGACCTGGCAATTCAGATGTATGAGCAGGCTGTCCAGTGTGATGG